ATTCCTTATTTTCATATTGCAGCTTGATGTCTGTTTTTATTAATATCTTTTAGCATGTTTCAAAACAAAAGCTTAAGTGCAAGTTAGGAGACATGGTCTTACCTTTTCCTGTAGTGCCTATCCAATGTGGTCCTGATGTTTTGGTTTTGTGCATTTTTTTTTTGTTTGTTTTATTTTTTTCTGTCTATGGGTGTCAGTGAAACACTGAGGATATGGCAACCTAAGTTGGGTTTTGTAGAGTAAGTTTGGCAGTGTATGTTATGGGAATAATGTCATAAGAAGATGCTTCTCCTGGGAGCACAGTTGTCACCCCTACCCTCCACTCACACAGTAATTTTAACACTGCTATTTCTGGGCTTTTCACTGGGATTTGTAGATACCTACTTGCTGAAGGACTGCTGCAGTGAGATGATTACCATAGTTTTCTAAAATTTTCAGCCTTTTCAGGTAGAAGAGAAAATCAATCCAACCAGGTTTTACATTATTTTACTTTGTAGGTTTCAGGTAGTATTGTGACTGTTTTAAATATATCCCCCCATATTTACAGGGGATTTTTGTCTTCTAGTAATAACATGTTGCCTCTGAACTTTTTAAATGTATAGTGCCTGCCAATTATTCTGGCATCGTAACAAGGCAAAGCCTGTTGCCATGGAGCTTTGAGGACTTGCTTCGCCAGTCAGCGTACCTGCAGCTAGACAACTGGTTAAATGATCTCTTTGTAGTAGTTTCTACAGGGCGGAGGAAAACTAGGAAAGAAAGGAGGAAAAAAAATGCATGAGGTGGTGTTTAAGGAAGATATATCCTTCTTACAGCCCACATCCATCATCTGCTTCTGCTGTGTCAAGTTGCTATTTCCTTGAAGAATCCTTAACTGTGTCAGGCAATTGGTGTTTGACTTAGAGCTCACAACAATGTGTGTAGCTGGTTTTCCTTGCTTTAATACTGTTCCCACTGTTTTGACTTTGTTTTGCTCTGCTGTGGATTACTGCCACGTTAGCATGGTGAGGAGCATGGCAGAAGATGATTTATCACATAGCTGTGAGAGGATTTTTTGTTGTGAAGAATATATAAACAACCAGGAAAGCTTCCAGTGCCTGCTTGTTACTCAGTTGTATGAATCAGCAGGATGCTGCTCCAAATCAATCTTAGCTACTAGGCAGCCATTTAATAATTACCCGGAAAGGTCTGTTTCTCACTGAACTTTTCAAGACAACTTTCTCCATTTTCACCCAAACTGACAAGTTTGATGTAGCAGATTTCTAACTGTAGCTGGTGGTTGTTCAGTGTTTCCTGCTGAAGGCTGGACCTCAGTGGTGTTTTACTGGAAGTCCGAGAATATTGACTTAACCATTCTGCATTTGTTTTCTCAGTCATGTGATGTTGTTTGGTTCTTATAGTGCATCATGGACTTTGGTGTACTGGATTCTATGTAGAAATATGCACATTTGCTAATTTTTCTTCAGAATATACATATTGCTGTAGTACTTCTGTGTGTTTGAGATGATTCCCATCCTATATGATGCACTGTCTTGAATGCCATAAGTGACTTTAGTGGTAGCAAAATTGTACCACTGTGTAGTTACATTACCCTTATGATTCCTGTTATCAGATACAGGGTTTATTTATAATTCTACTTTCCATTCATGTATTGAAAATTTTACTTCTGTAAGTCTTTGATGCCTTGTCTGCTAAGTCTGTAGGGTCTTCAGCTCAGATGAGGTTGGATTTGGATTTCTTTGTGACTGCACTTGCTTCAGTTTGATTCCCCAAAATCTGAAATTACTGATTCAGTCATAGCTATGGTGCAGAAAAAAGAAAAACAATTTAGTTTGAGTTCCCTGTCCTGGTTCCTTGATTCTGGATTTAGGGAACTTTTAAAGTTACAACAAACTTAATGGCCTCATTGCTGTTAAAGTTTGTCTGCTCCTTATTCCTTTTGGTCTTTGTCTTCCACTGGGATATAACACATCATCAGAGAGTGCAAAATAATGCTTTCAGAAACAGTATTGGGTTTTGTGTCACCATGTTTGTTATCTCCTAGCTTTTGGTGATGTGGATCTCGCTCAGATACTCGGGATGCCTGTGTAAACAAGGTGTGGGTTAAATGTATAAGATAGAACATGCCTCATGTACTACTGCGCGGATGTGCTTATTTCTGAAGAATATTGGCTTATGGAGCAGCAGCTGTTTACACAGATGTTATTCTAAAGGGATCTCCTGCTGGTATATAGTGTGTATAAACAGTTTTAGATACTCTTTAATATATCTCTGTGATAGCCAAGCTCTTGAGTAAGGGAAGTGTCTCCTTCCCCTGTGTGGCATTTTCCTGAGGAGACTTGATAGCAAAGAAACTAGAATCAACAGGTCTCACACAAGTGGGAACACCTACATTTTATCACAACTACTTAGTCAAACAACCTACATTGTTCCCATATCTTCTGGTAGATCTTGGTCGGCTAGCTGGGTTTAGAGCTAATCTGTGTGACACTTCCAAGGATCCTGGGAATCGTTTGTTATGGTTCATTACGTAAGTCTTCTTAATGAATGTCTTTGCTGCTACTGGTTCATGATACTTGGTACAAATGTAGGTTACAAGCAAATTTTAAACCCTGTGATGTGAAAAATATTTGTTTTTGCTGCTAACTGTAAACAGTTCTGGCTATTGAGACTCTCACTATCTGCAACAACTTTACTGAGGTGCAAGATGCATGTTAGTCATCCCATCACTGTGTGTTATGCTTGCAGAAGGCAACGTCTGACAAAAGGGCTTTTGTCTGGAAATCATCTTGGGCTATGAAATTAGTTCTTGCACTCTGACAGTCTGCCCGCTAGTGATGATTTCAGCTATTGGGTTTGCCTTGCAGTGCAGTTGTGACTGAGATTCTTTGGACCTGGAACTTCATGACTCCTGTAGCTGTGGAGACATGGATTTGACTTAGGCTTCCCTTGTATGATAAACTCTTTGTCAGCCCATTTCTCACTCTGTTCACTGAGATGTTTGACTGTAAGCATTTTCTTTCTCACACTCCAGCTGCTTCTTTACCCTCTTCTGCAGTCAAGCTATAATCCTGTGGTTTTGATATTGCAGGCTGTTGCCATGGAAATAATGGTGATTTCACAATTTCAGTGCTGTAAGCACCGCAGGAGGCAATGGAAAAGGTGGTTGGCAAGAGATACAGTGAGGATGTAGGGCACAATTCAGAGGAGCTGCTTCTGAACCTGCTTTTGGGGGGGGTTCTGCACCCTCTCTATTATTGTGGGGTTTCAGTGTGTGTGTATGTGGTGTTCTAGTCTCTATTTCTCTCTCTTTTTTTTTTTTTTTTTTCCATAAATGTGATTTTATTAAAGGTTGATGCATAACAATTTCATCATGTGTTCTGATATTTTTTGCAAAGGTTATTACAAAGTGATGCTAAATGCTCCTTTCCTTCTCCTCAGAATAAAAATACAATGCTTTCTTCGCAGTTTATAGTAATTCATTTTTGGACAAAAGGGCAAAAGTTGAGATTTAAGCGCATTCTGTTTAAGTCACATCTTTAGGCTGAAGAAATCCCTTTCAGGAAAACATTTTTTTTTGATAAATAGTAAACCAAGCTGAGAACATCATGACAGGCATATGCGTTTAAAGCTGTCTGTGTGACTGACAGTATTAAAACCTAATATATTCGTTATTTAATTTTTAGTGTGCTCTGCATACAAACAAGTTTGGTGCTGAAGATCTACTTATGCAGCATCTGTTCATAGCATTATGTCTTGATTCCACATCTATACAGAAATATTTTCTTTAAATTAGGCACATCCATAAAGGTAGAATGAAACTTACTGGAGGAAATCAACTTTGTTATAAAATGAATTGGCAGCTTAACAAGCTTGAAGGCAAGTGGCATTCAGAAGAACGAGAATTTTTCATACTATATGCTTGAAAGCACCAAACAGCAGCCTTTTTTCCCCAGCTATTTAAAGCAATGTTTCACTGATTAGCGTAGTTGGAAAGTAGATATTATCTGTAACTTTTAAATTAAGATCTTAGAATTAATTTCCAGTCTTCAGTAGGATGTAATCAGTAACGATGGTGACAGTAAACTTTAAGATCTTTTTTTAATTAAAGATAGAGGAAAAATTGTTTCAGCCTATAAGATGCATTAAAATAATCTAGGAATTGCTTTAAAAATATTTTGATCTTTTTCTGCTTCATATTCAATAAATGGAGACGATAAGATGAGCTGTTATATATGAAAGAAAAACAATAAGGAATGTTCAACATGACTCTGGCTTTCTTGGGCAGTTTTATTAGTAAGCCGAGTTCATAAGGATGGATTCAGTCCCCTAATACTTTACTTGTATGAATGGAAATAGTCTACTTATACCTGAATTTCACAGAAGCTCTGCAAGGAACTTCTATATAAATTAAAATGACAAAATGAGCCAGAACTGTGTTTGCCGGGCCTGGCATGAAAAAATGCTAAGTATGTCATGCTCTCAAATCTAACTGAGAATACAGGCATTTGATAGTAACGAGTATTATATAAATCAGACAACGTTTTCTGTCTGAACTATACTTATTAGTGAGCACTGATTTTTGTCATGTAATGTTTCTTGATGCCACGTAAGTTTTTAAGTGTTGTATAAAGGTGCGTTTCTGCTGAAATATATTCCATTATATATGCTTTTTTGGGGCAAGTTTGGGCCAAGCATAACCGAAATATTTAGATTTTTTTATGAATGAGATTGGTTATAGAATTTTGTCTGTGCTGGTATAATACAGGTAGCATTTACTTTCTGTCTTAAGAAGACTGCCTGTCAGTGGGATGATGAATATACTGATGATAAGTATTTTCGACTCCTGCCTGGAAAAGTAGATTAAAACTCCTGGTAAGGAGCCATTTAGCTACAGGTAGTATTATCTGGTAGATATATGAACTCCTCCATGATAAATGAATTTGAAGACCTGGACAGCAGGCAGGTGTTTCAGTCCCTCATTGCCTCTGTTCCTGTTACAGGTGCATGTGACAGCATTGCAGTGATGAGTGGAATTTTAAAGAGGAAGTTTGAAGAAGTTGATGGCTCCTCACCTTGTTCCTGTGTGTGGGAATCAGATGATGACATTTCTAGCAGTGAAAGTGCTGACAGTGCAAGTAATGTCCATCCATCCACTTCTAATCATTTTACTCGTAAGTACTAAAATTGTGTGTAAGGCATGATACTCCTTACTCATCTTACTTGGAAGAAATACAGTGTAGGCTTTTATTTTGAAGCATTTTTCTGTTTTATTACTTTTAAATGTTGACACTGTGAGGGAATACCTCTTTGAAAAAGAACTATTTCCTCTGCTAGTTGTTTATGTAAAAAATTTGTATGTTAGAGCATGTTTCAGAGGAAACTCCACTTTTATACTATATCATTTACATCTAGATAATGTGAAACGTTTTAAGTATATAGGAGAAAATCTTCCATTTTGAATGATTTGGAGAAGAAGGAAAATTGGCAGTAACAAAGCTTGAAGGCCAATTCTTCTGTTTGACCCTGTCTGTTCAGAGTTAGAGTAGCGTGCATGATCTGTGACAGAATAGTTGATACCTTTGATCATCCTGCCACCTGAGCCAATGCAACCACACAGCCCTCAGTCCTTTTCTTCCACTCATTACAGGAGTAAACAGTGGAAGAAATGTGTAATTCTTTCTGAGAAGATGTTAGATTCATATTGATGTCTTCATGAGACACTTGAAGAATAGAAATCCTTTTTTTGTTGCCACTCAAACAGCTGAACATGAGTAGTTAATTTACAGCATATTTTTCTTTTGACTTCTCAAGTTGAGGTTACCAGTTACTAAACTTGCATAATTTGTGGAATAAAGCCTCATATATGCAGTAAACCGTGTGTGTAAATGACTAGCAGTAAGTGATCTGGACTTTATCTGACAATTCATCTGTAGCAGCTAGAAGGATGTCTCCATTTTTTTCTTTTAATTTATTGTCTGTCTAATAAAACTAGGTTAGAGCTATTTGTGAATTACAGCTGGCAATGCAGTTAGTGTAGTTTCTTATCTGAAAAGGAAAAAAGCTCCTCTGGGTAATAGACACTTCTATACTGCCTTCTCTTTGACTGGACTTTTCAAAAGCACACTGAGGGTTTGGATGTTCAGCTGAGGGTGGTGGTGAAGAGGTTGTACTCTACCCCGAGGGGACTATCCTGAAATCTGTCCTGCTTTATCCATCACATGAAGGAGGTGACAGAGTGACTTGCATCAAGCTTGCAGAGAACCACATTGAGAACAGTTGATGCCCTTAAGGGAGAAGCCCCCATTCTGAGGGATCTAGGCAGGCTGGAGGAATGGGCTGACAGGAGACACATAAAATTCAGCAAAGACAGATGCAGAGCTGTGTACCTGTGAAGGAAGAGCCCCTTGCAATGATACCAGCTGGGAGCTGACTGGCTGGGGAGCAGCTCTGCAGAAAAGATCCTGAGGGTCTTGGACAGAGAGCAAGCTGAAGGTGAGCCAGCAGTGTGTCCTGGCAGGCAAGAAGGGCAACGGCCTCCTGGGCCGCATGAGCAGAGGCTCAGCTAGCAGAGTGAGGGAAGTGACTGTCCCCCTCAGCTCAGCACTCATTAGACTGCACCTAGAATATTGTGTCCAGGTTTGGCCTCCCCAATGCAAGAAAGACATTGATAAAGTGGAACAAGTTCAGCAGAGAGTCATGAAGGTCATGAAGGGGTTGGAACATTCACCCTGTGAGGAGAGGCTGAGGGATCTGACCTTGTTCAGGCTGGAGAAGGGAAGGGTGCAGGGGAACCCTGAATAAACCGTGCAGTACCTATGAGGAGCTTACCCAGAATGTAGGCAGGCTTTTCCCAGTGGTGTGTGATGGTAGGGTGAGACGCAATGGATGTATATTGAAACGAGAAATATTCTGACTGAATGTAAGGAGAAACTTTTTTACCATGCGGACAGCCAGGCGCTGGAGCAGGTTGCCCAGGAAGGCTGTGTAATCTCTGTCCTTGCAGGTTCTCAAGACCTGACTGGCTGAAGCTGTGAGTAGCCTGGTCTGCTACCTTAGCTGACCTGGCTTTGAGCAGGAGGTCGGAGTAGAGACCTGCTGAAGTCCTTTCCAACCTGAATTATTTTGTGGTTTTATGACTTGTGTGCATCAGAGATTGAGAGCCGAAGGAGCACTGCTTTTTCTTGTTTCAGAACAGAGTTCACTGGTAAGCAGAGAGTGTAGCAGCAAGCATTTGTGCAGAAGCAGTTGGTACAGTGCTGTGAAACTTCTACTAGACTGCTTGTAGGCCTCTTCTGATAAGTTTGAAGGGAACTGTGTTTTGCTTCATCAATTTACTAGCTTAAGTCTTCGCTAGCTCTGTGACCTACTTGCCACTTTCACTGCCAAATGTGTGTGTACATCTCATGTTCTGATTTGATACTTCCAGTTTTGCTGCCTCACCTTTGTAAGCCCAGATGGCAGCCAGTACTGAATGGTTTTGAAAAGCCAAGGTTTTCTGTAGGCTTCTTGCTGAATTTAGAGTGCTAGTGGGAAGAACAAAGACTGGGATGATTTGAGACACAGGTAGATGTGAGATGTCCCACTCCCTCCTCCTCCTCCTCCCCAACTCATTATCCTGCTTTGACTGTGTTTGAGGCTCTTGCTGTTGGCTCTTGGAACTTGAACTCTCCAAATTTAGCAATGGGATTTTCAGCCTGGAATTTATTCCATTTGGCAGTCTGCCATTGCTTTTGTCTACTGAATAGGCTTCAGGGCATGGTGCAGATACATTTATTTTGCTTAGCTTTCATTTGTTTTCCCTTTTTATGTGTTTTTTTTTGGAGTTTTGTTTTCTGTTTTTTTCTTTTTTCTTCATTTTCATTGTTTTATTTGTGACAAAGCCACGACCTATTTGCTCATGTTTCTGTAGGCAATGGCAGTATTTTTCTAATGCAGCTGTCTAGGTAAGTACTTTGTAAGATTTTTGTGGGAAAAAAACCTAACCACCAAACATCCCTGACTGCTACAACAGCAGAGTTTATAAATCACAAAATAAATAAACCAGTTCAAGTGTTTTCATAAAGCAGAAATAAGCAACAAAGATTTAATTTAAGGAACTTGGCTCTCCGTAGTTGAATCTTGTACAATTTAGCAGCATCAAAATAGAAGCCACATCTACTTCTTTTTACAGTGGTGTTTATATAGGGTGGTGAAGAATCAGACCTATAGCCCAAGAAAATGTAATATTTCATGTAAATTAGCTGAGCAATTTTTGACCATGTTTGTTACCTCAAAGAATATTTAGTAATTCATATATAACAGCTTTATTTCCCTAATTTTACTAGCATCCATTATTGTTTGGAAGTATTTTTTTATATTTTGGGGGGGAGAATGGATTTATTGCAGTGATTAATGCAACAGAATACTACTTACTAAAGGTTTTTCAGAGGGTCTGGAATTGGATATTCTGTATCAGAACTCATGATTTTCAGTCAGATTCTCATAGTAGTGTTTTTCAGATTCCCGTCTTCTTGCTTTCTGTTAGTCATCAGCTTCTCCAAAAACCAAATGATAGATTTATTAAGAGTCCAAATTCTCTAGCTATAAAACAGAAATCAACAAGAATATTTGCAAATAAAGATTATTTGTTTGAGAAAGTTGCAGGATTGGGTTGCATAATGCTTGAATACAGGTGTTGTGGTTTGAGTTCAGAGGGCAACTGAACGCCATGCAAGCTGTTCACTCTCCCCTTTCCCCCGAGGGCTGGGAAGGAGAAAATTAAGTAAAAGTCTCAGAAATCAAGATAGGACAGGGAGGGATGACTCACCGATTATGGTCATGGACAAAAGACAGACTTGTTAGAGGAAGAAAAAATAACATAAATTTAATAAAGACACTAACAACACCACCACTTAACAGACAGAGTTAAGACATTGAGAAGCATTACAACATCTTGAGAACACCTTCCCCTACCCATCCCTTCTTCCCGGGCTCAGCTTTGGTCCTGATCTCTCTAACTCCTCCCCCCCAGCAGTGAAGGGGTCAGAGAATGGGGGATGCAGTCAGTCCTGCCACTTCTTCCACCTTGGGGTGGGAACCTCTGGCATTCTCCTCCTGCTTCAGCGTGGTTCCCCCTCTCACAGGACACAGTCCTACACAAACTTTCTCTGATGTGTGTCCTTCCCACAGATTGCAGCATTTTCTGTGCTGCTCTGGCATAAGTCACCCCTGTATGTTGCAGTCTTCCCATCACCGAACTACAACAGCGGGGGCTTCTTCTTCCCACAGAGTCCCGGCCTTCTTTGGCCACAGACACCTGCTCTGGTGTGGGCTCATCCACAGGCTTCAGGTCAGCTTCTGCTCCACTATGGACCTTCATGGGTAGTTGTGGGGGAGGCCCTGCTGTCTTCTCACAGGATACGGGGTGGGGCTCTGCCCCAGTGAACCTTCCCCCCCCTCTTTCCTCCACCTTTCTTCTACTGACCTTGGTGTTCATGTACGTGTCTTCCTCATGATTCCAACTCCTCCTCCCAGGTTCTCCTTCTTAAATACATTATTGCAGAGGTGCAGCTACCATTGCTAATTGGCTCGGCCTTGGCCAGAGGTGGATCTGACTTGGAGCTGGGGGAGCTGCAAGAAGCTTCTCATAGGAGGCACCACTGTAGCTCCCTAATCCGCTACCAAAAAACATGCCACTTGCACAAACCCAGCACAACAGGGCAAAACAAGAAAACGTGCCTTGCTGTTGCAGACAATTCTGTCCTCACTAGCATATGTTATATGTGTAACAGCAGGCTTTCAGAATATGTAAGACAGGTTTCCTCTAGCCTCATCTGAGATCAGTGTAAAATTATTTCCACCTCAGCCCACTTTATGCAGTAATGTGTTTATTCTGTACACATGTTCCTGGAAGTCTAGGATCCTACTGTGTGCCCAAAGCCACTCTGCTGTTCAGAAAAATCTAAGATTAATATAAATTATTCTCACTTTTCTTTATCAATTTCACATTCATTGCTTCTCCAAGGAACTGCTGAGATACACAACAGCAATCTAAAAAATCCTCTATTATGCTATGAGCTCCAGTAATCCCTGTCAATACACAGTAATTCTTTGTGATAGTGGAATGTAATAATACAACAGTATTTTCTAAGCTGAATGTAGATTAAGACTGTTAATAATTAATACTCACCCT